CACACATGATCTAGTTTATTTATGAAACCTTTTCCTCTTTTACTTTTAAAAATACATAAATTTTAATTTACTTTAAAACAAAAGCAAACCTAAATAGCCACTCCCATTTATGGGCGTGTTCAATCAAATTTATGTTAAAGAATACAAGTTATATGTTGAGTATGTAAACTTTTAACCTTGACTGTACTCTTTTATACATGTATGCACCTAAAAAACAACATGACACACTAAAATAGAATATTTAAAAAAAAAACAGCTTTAATTTGCTTTATGTCACATACGGTTAAATTTGAACATATTTTTATGACAAATGATTGGAACAAATTTAAATCTGCACTTGTTATTAATAATTGAATGACCAAATAATCGAGGTTGATCGGTTTATCACATGATCTTGTAATAATCACACCTACCAAGTTCACAAAACAAGATTAAGCCACAAGTTGTGTTGTAGGTGATTTATTTATTTATTACGAATGGAATTTGTGGCAATTTTATTCATTAATCTCTTTTTTTTTTGCAAATTTTTGATAGAATATTTGAAAAACTTATTATGGAAATCCTTATTAGATAAAATATGATTGATATAGTTTTGCCGAGAGGAATTTTAACAAAAACCATATAAAATTATTGTTTAAAATATATGTATGTTTCTGGTTTATTGTTATGCAGTTACAACAAAAAGAATTTCTTATAACATGTTGTAAATATTATTTATCAAAGTTAAAAATGCCGCCACTACCGCATAAAAATTGTAAAAAAATATTTCCTAAACACTTTTGATCACAAACAACAACATCATCATCATCATGGTGATCATGCAACAGCAAACATTATAGTAACATGAACAATACTACTGTAATTGTATATGCAGCACATGTGTCTAGCCCAACATTAGCAATATGCAGCAATTGTAGTATTTGTTGTACATACATAGCTGCAAGCAGCAAGCATCATAAATATGGATGTAATTTTCGTTTCAGTTCCAAACTCTTTTATTCTTTTAATGCTTCCATCTAGTTTCGAACTTTATGGTTTTGACAATTTTATTTAATTATACCCTACACCACTTTAGTGAGGAGGGTATATTGGGTTTGTGCTGATGTTTGTAACGCACAATAATATCGGTCCTATACCCACCTTAAAGTATACCAATCGGCTCAGAATCATTTTCTGAGTCGATTTAGCTATGTCCGTCCATCTGTCCGTCCGTCTGTCCGTCCGTCTGTCCGTCCGTCTGTCCGTCCGTCTGTCCGTCCGTCTATGTAAACCTTGTAATTAAACTACAGGTCACAATTTTGAAGATAATTCAATGAAATTTGATACATGATCTTTTATGGTATCGTAGACCCCCGAATAGGGCTTTTAAGTTCATAATTATGATTAATATACTCATATCTCGACAAAAAGCTGCAAAAACCAAGTTGTATACAAGACTTGATGACCCTCACGAATTCCATAATAATAGGTTCTCATATGACCCTAGCCCCTATGAAAAGCCCCCATCAAAATTTCACTTAAATATCCACAATTTTATTCAACAATAAAGGGTTTAAGTATGTACGTATATCTAGGCAAGGTACAATTCAACTTAAATGCTTTATTATGGCAACTAAATCACATCATATTTTTGTCAAAGGTATTATATGGTCGGCCTCGCCCGACTATAATTTCTTATTTGTTTTTTATTATTTTTGTGCCAACCAACCGAGTCTGGCCGTAGCAACCAGTGTATTGTGTTTGATCACACACGTATAAATAACAAAATTTTTCGTAATATGTTTTACTTTGTTTTGTGCATGAACAGTAATAAATAATTAATTAAATATATTTATTTATACATAATTAACACAGTTTTACCAGGCGTTTGTTGTAAGTTAGATAAGTATAATATTTTGTCAATAGAGCAATAAATTTGTAAAGGCAACAATAAATATGATATAAAATTTGCTCAAACATCGTTTAGTGCGAAAATTTCGTAAAAAGGGAAATATGTATATAAATCTGAAAATTCTAAATGGATGGCTCAAGGGAAAGTGCTTTCAACAATCGGTTATAATTTACACTTTATGAACACACCAAAAGCGCTTCCAGAGGGTCCCAAATTAGAGTGGTCGTATTTCTTTTTAAAGATATATACAAACATATATATAATATACAATGTATATATTTAATTTTATCTAGTCGAGCAAAGTACCTCATCGTATTTCTTTGGTCTTCATGAATATGCCATAGATGGGTCCTGAGGGTCCTAAATTAGGAGGGTATGTGTTCAAAACGATCTTTAGTTTTCCCCATTTTTTTATGAGAAAGTACTTATTCCATTTTGAAGTTACCTAAAAAGTTCCCTAAGGCGATGTTTCTAAACTTGGAAACATAAATGACCTGGGGATTTCCGTTGAAAAGCCAGAAACCAAAATATACTACTGACTACTTAATCACAACACTAGATTCAAGGCAGTAGTCCGTGCGATAACGGAATATTTAAACTGGATAGAAATAAACATGACACCAACAGAGGTTATCATATTTACCGACAGTCAGAGCACACTAAGAAGCCTTAATCGAATACTCTTCCAGAGATAAGCTATGGATCACACTTACACCAGTACCTCGTTTCTGTAATTTTCTCGAATCGAGAAAAAACTTAAAATATAATAGTCCAGTTTTTAACAGTGTGACTCTGATTATTTTTGAACTGTACTCAATAAAATTTAATAAGAAATTTTTAAATTTCTTGTATTCACCCTGTTTTACACAAGATCATGAATTTTTCGACAGATTTTCTCGATGCGAGAATTACAGAAACGGGGCACAGAGCACACTGGAATAATCGATAACTAAAGAGCAAATGTCCTTGCTATAAAGGGAAGGGAACTCGATAAGGTTAACATGATGAATGCTCTTGACTGAATCAGAGCTAAAATATGAGCGAGAGAATTCCATACGTCAACAAATATCTTATGGGGGTATTCAAAATGAACAAGTCCAGGCAAAACTATACAAAATTATACGATTGGATTCCGACAAATATAAAACAAACGGAGAGGGCAGAAAAACTCTGGAAAAATTTCCCCTCAATTAGATCCAAATATCTAGGGAGCAGTATTATTCCAGATATTACATCCCCAGAGATTGGAAATTTGTAAGGAACTACATCCAGAAAACTGAGTTTCAGAATGATGATTATAGCACAACCTCGGGGTGCGGACAAATGATTTTTGTTCGAAATTGTTTGCTTCTAAACTGGTTTTGTTTTATGGTATCGACACTAGTTCTTTAATCAGTGATTTTTGTTCGACGAATGCCTGGCAGTGGCAAAGAAAGTGCTCCAGAGTTTCACTGTCCTCTCCACATGCTCTACATTCGTCTGAATCCGCACGTCCAATTTTGCATAGAAGTGCTCGTGATACTGTGTGTCCACTCAAAATACGTACCATCATACTAACTTCAGACTTGCTCATTTTGAGGAGATTTTTCGTTTTGTTCTCATGAGGGTCTCCCCCCCGTAGGATCTTTGTGGTTCTACCCACTGTTTCATTATTCCAAGTAGCCTTTTGAGATTCTCTCACCCATATTTTTAGTTCAGTTTTTGTTGCGTCGAAAGGTTTTGCGTTTATCAGGTTAACTGCCTCGAGCTCCCTTCCCTTTTAAGCTATTACATTCGCCCTTTCGTTACCGACTACTAACGAGTGGGCTGATACCCATATAATGTGAACCTTACCTCTGGGAGAGTATTCAGTTAAAGCTTTCTTACAATGTGTGTTATGATTTGTGTTATGATTTGGTACACGGTGGTATATTTCTGTTTCTGGGTCTTCAATATAGAACCCCAGCCCCACTTTGTTCCAAAATTTAGAGCCATCCGTCTAACAACGAATTAATACTTTTAAGTTTGGGACTCAATATGAGAAAGAGTTATAAAATTACACAGGTAAACAAATGTTTAACCCAAAGACGAGAGTATACTTTTCTCAAGGATTGATCAGCGCTGAATCCAAATCTTTCCAATGAAGTACACTTTGGTCTCTGGTTTTCGACTTTTTTCAAATTTTTATTTTTTTTGATCTGTGTTCTTTAATCAATAATTTTTGTTCGAATTTGTCACTCTAGTGAAATATTAGAGAACTCCACAACTTGTTTAAAACATTTCTTGAACTATTTCGGCTACTTTTGTTTGATACTGTTAAGTTTAGGACTCAATATGAGAAAGTTCCAAAATTTAGATCCATCCGTGTAACAACGGATTGATACGTTTAAGTTTGGGACTCAATATGAGAAAGAGTTCTTAAATTACACCGGCCAGCAAATGTTTAACCCAGAGATGAGAATATACTTTTCTCAAAGATTGAGCAGCTCTGAATCAAATCTTTCCAATGAATTACACTTTTTTAAAATTTTTTCTCCAAGTTTAGTTGCTGAGGGCGATATATTATAATTTTCTGATTAATTTTGTTTTCGACTCGTTCCAAGAAGTCCTTTTGGAACTAGGAAATTTTTCATTGCGCAACTAGTGACAAAGAACTAGTTTTTTGCGACATCGCTAGTCCCAAGGTTGATATTCTAGAATGGTTATGTTTGCTCAGTCTCCAAAAGTAAATAATTTAGAACAAATTTTAAATCCAAAAACTTTTTAGTTAACCTATACAACTTTTTTTAATTTTACAGCTTTAAGTTAATTGTTTTTCGATAAAAGTAATTGATATTGATTATATACATACATACATACATACATACATACTGAGAACATGTCTAATAGATTTTTAATAGTAAACAGATTCATTAATATCTTCAATATTTTATTTATTTTCCATAATAAATGACATGAAAATAACGAATTTCTAAACTTAAGACGTGCTACAATTTTACCACCCTACTGTTTAGTCACGATATTTTTTTAATTTTCTTTCCTATTTCATTAATAAAGAAAATTCCTAACAAAATTGTATTACTGATAAAACCATATATAAATAACAATGAAAGTGTCTAACTTTGAATTA